CGTGTCAAAAAGAGTAACTGGTTTAATATGTAGCTGTGGAGCCTGTGTTTGAAGCTTTTTCTTCCTCTTAATCCACCTGCAGGAAGCTGTGAACAAACTGTGTTAAGTAAAACTGCTCATCTTGCTGCAGCCAGACCCTCTCTGGGATGCTCTGCATACCTGAGCTAATCTCAAAGGTACTCAGACCATCAGGGATCCTCATTTCCCCTATCCCTAATAAAGGGATAGGCGATAGGCATGGGATTCAGTTTGTCTTGAAATGTTTGCAGTGTAATTGCTATTGTCTGGACTTTACCTGGCTTTAAACTGAAAGAGGATAGATTTAGATCAGGTAATAGGAAGAAATACTTCACCGTGAGGCTGGTGAGACAATGGGCTGCCCAGAGAAGCTGTGGCTACCCCATCCGTGGCAGTGTTGAAGGCCAGGCTGGACAGAGCCTTGGTCTAGTGGAAGGTGTCCCTGCCCATGGAAGGGGGTTTGGAAGTGGATGAGCTTAAGGTCCCTTCCAAGCCAAACCACTCTGTGGTTCTGTAATTCTATGATTTATAGACAAAGGAGAGAACAGACATCTCCACAGAAGCAGTCAAACCTACGCCAAACATCTACTGTGAGATGATAAAGGCATGGTGGAAGAAATTCCTCCTCCTGGTTATAAAGGGAGTCCAGACACTAAACTGAGACACACGTCTCCACCAAACACACTCATACTCAATCCAATAAATCCCTATCTTCCAGAGACCAGTTTGACCTATGCTAAAATAGGTGTTTTAAGATAGATGAGATTAATCTTTCTTTTTCTAGTGGCATGGGCAGTGACATTTCAGGAGACAAATCTGGGCTATTAGGTACTAAATGACAAGGGTCCTCATTTCTGCTTTAGGTCCAAGAATCACAGAAACATAGAATCTTAGACACAACTATGTTTGAAAAGACCTTCAAGATCATCAAGTCCAACCAGTTCCCCACCACTAACCCATGTCAATGGGGGCCTTGTCTCCACGGTGTGTGAACTCTTGCAGGGATGGTGACTCCAGCCCTGCCCTGGGCAGCCTGTTCCAATGCCTGAGCACCCTTTGGGGAAGGAATTGTTCCTCAGCTCCATCTAAACCTCCCCTGGTGCAGCTTGAGGCCGTTTCCTCTTGTCCTATCACTTGTTACTTGGGAGAAGAGACTGACCCCACCTCACTACAACCTCCTTTCAGGTAGCTGTGAAGAGCAATAAGGTGCCTGCTGAGCCTTCTCTTATCCAGACGAAACAAGACCCCTACTGAAGCAAGTTTACTGCAGGAGATTGCTTCTTCTGGCTTCTCTCTGATGGACATTTTTGCCTTTCAGTCATTTTCTAAACTTGAATATTCAAGTTTAAAAATGGAAAAAACAAAGCAAAACTGTCAAGTTTCTGTGACTAAGAGGGATTTCCAATGGAAACAGACCACTGTTGCTCTACTTCTGGTGTCATTATCCAGCATTTATACTTTCATCTGCATTTTGATCCTTTGTGTTCCTGCAGATAATGCAGTGGCCCAGCTTAATTGAAACTTATAGTAAAAATAAGTTTAAGCACAAACAATTATTCTGTAATGACAGTAATTTAAAATGAGGGGAAAAAAATCTGCTAATAATTAAAAATATGAATTATTTCTTCCAAAGCTCTGACAATCCCCACTAAACCTTTTATGCCTCTGGGATGCAAGACTTTTTTTTTGCTCATGATTAATTACAAGTTCATCTATTACATCCTCTGTTCCAGCACAAATATAGCAAGTCTCTCTCACCCAATATAAATCAAGCGGTGCTGAAATCAGAACATGTACAATGATTTATAATGGGAAGGAAAAAAAATATGGAAATAAAGAGAATATGGCATAAAATAAACTTTTTCTACATCATGGATAGGCATAATGGGCATTTCTGTTTTCTACATGGTCCATAGAGTCTCTCTAATATCTTACTGCAACCAAGTCCTTAGTGAATTTACTTGATGAAGCAGGGAAGTGTTGCTGTCAGAGGGTGAAGCCTACATCTGAGACTAGAGACTACAGACTATTATGTGGCTGACAATTATGGTACCCAACATGGAGTCAGGAACTTCATGTGGCATCTAAGATCAAGATCATGATGCTAGATTGAGAACATCACTGAGCTGTCTCGTCCTACTTCTTGTAACAACAGTGCCCAACCCTTGTGCTGAATCCATCTGCACCGTGTCACATGGAGACACACGACGGTTGTGATTTGGTATCTCACCTATTTATGACCAGCAAAGAGTTGCACATACACCCCTGATGCAGCCTGCATGTGTGTATCCATTGAAAAGGGGGATGATAGATAGAAGCCCATGGGGTAGGAGATGGAAGGGAACAGAAAGGAGGGAAGCAGAAGTATTTGCATAACCACCTGCTGCTCCCTTCCCTGGGCTGGCTGCAGGGAGCACTGAGCCACCCCACAGCCTTCTCCATCCTTTACTTACCACCACTAAATACCTTACTTACCATATATTTCCCACATATGTTCTTTATTATTGTTTTACATTGAGGGGGGAAGGGTGTTATAGGGTGAGCAAAGAGTTTAGATGGGGGACATGAGAATTCACACAAAGCAATGAAACACTGCTATTAACACACACATCTCAAGATGAAGGAGCACCTTATAAAACTTAGAATGCAGGAAGATATTTACATTTGTTTAAACATTTCTATCATTTCAGGGAACCTAAATGCCTTATTCTGTACTAGTTAAAGGACGCTTTGTTATGTTAACGTACAGGTCGGGACTGGTGCTCCAAGTTGTATTGTTGAAGTGACTGCACTGCATTATATGCAAACATTATAACCAGTCACTTAATCTTCATTCCTGACAAATCCATTTATTAAGGTATAGGGGAGGCCTTAACTTGAATGTTTCAGTGATGTTGACATTTTTGATTTCTCCATTTATGCATGTTTGTCCATATACTCTTAAAAATACTACACACACCTATTTTTATAGGTATACACATAAAAACAGGAATCACACACAGATTTATATGCATATATACACATAAAAAAGAATAAATAACAAATGTCTGCATTTACAGGACAATCACACTGTACTAGAGGTCGTAGGTTACAGCCAAATACATTAATGAACTGGCAGTTTAACAAACCCAGGCAAACTACCCAGTTGGATTTAAAAGACAGCCTGTGCTTTTGATCTCTGAGCAGCACACGAGAATACAAAGGGAATATAAAGTGCATAAACCTATGGCAGCTCCCTTGAAAGCACTTCACCCACAAAGGCATCCGACTGACCATTCTTCAAATCCATCCTAGATCCTTCCAAAGCAGCCAAAGACACACATACAACCCAGAAGGACAACCACATTATCCATATGGATGCAAGTGGTACCAACACTGCTTCCTACAAAAGCCCTTGAGGGCTGTGTGATCAGGACCCTTCTTGTCACACTATGAAGACTATGTCCTTTTGGATATAAAATGAACACGTATCAAAACACGTAACAGAGGAGGCATCAAATGCTATTTGATAAACCCCATCCAACAAGCCAGCGATCGAAGACACAACAACGTCACCTCATTTTCTGCCTTAATTTATGTCATTTATAGGATATTAATGCCCTTAGCAGCAGTTTACTGACTAATGCTGGCTATATCTTCATCATGATCAACATATCTGAGGAATAAAGCACCTCCTAACTGGACAGGCTATTTCAGCCGCTCCTGCTTGCTGAAGAAAGTAGATCCTTTACACTGTGCTGCACCCATTTTCTGCCTGACTACTCTTTGACCTTCTTAGCCAAAATTGTCATTAACTCATTTGCAGCTTTGTGATCGGTTTTATTGTCAAGTATTGAATTTATTCTAGTCTCATTTTAGACTTCACACAGTAAAAACACAACAGGTCATTTTCAAAGCAACTGCAGGATTACGTGCAGCGTGACGCGCGTTATCCTGAATGCATATGCCTTTAAAACCAAAACACAGCTGAAGACCACCCTTAGTTTCTTGCAATATTTCAGTTCTGCAAAAGTTGTTCCTATTACCGACAAGTGGCAAAGTATGTTTTACCAGAGCTGTAGATAATGTAAAATCACATTACTCCTTTTCAGTGGAGAAAAAGGCCTGTGGCTCTTACTCCTTTGGTCTGGAGGTTTTCCCCAGGCCTTCACAATTCATTGTGTCCAAAGACCAACAAGGAGGCACTATGTACTCACACAGACCTCAGTTACATTTTGTCCTAACAAGACTCCAGATACATGAAAATCACTTTGGACTTCAACAAAATGATTTATGGTTGAGGAATAAAAAAAGGAAACTAACAGCTTTTATTCTGTCAATCCAATGCAAGCAAGAACAATTTCTTCTTTGTTCGTTTCCTCCCATTCCTCTGCCCTTTCATCCCTAGGAAGTACTAACTGTAACTATCAAAGAGTTCTTTCTGGTCAAGCTATCTTCAAAAAGATTAATGTTTGGGTGGTTTTTTGAGCGTGTGAGTGTTTTATTCTTGTTCCAACAAAGAAAAATCCAACCCCAAGCCCCTACCCTCAAATTGCCTTTAAAAAGTGCTGAACGCCATTCCCACAGCCATTATTCGCCAGGCACATCATGTCTTTTGACAGCTGAGTTGTTTCGGAAAAGCACTGTTGCCTGATTATAGGGAAACACTCCAATCAGAAGCACATATTCACTGAAACGATGCACTTCTTATGACAATCTTTCCAAGAACAACAGTAGCTAATTTGAGTTGAGTTTCCTACTGGGAAATGACTCTTTAATATGCACATCTCTTAATGACTACTTTAAAGCAAATTGTTGATGCTACAGTGATTTAATCATATATGTAAGAAAAAAAGTTTAGCTCTTACTTAGAGTATGCTTTATCATCTTTCCAGGTAGCACAAATCCACTGCAGCCCATGTGGCTCACGTCAGCCAAGTGTTCTCGTTATTTTAAATACTATTACTGAATGGATCCACAGGATTTTTTTTAGGCCCACTTACTTGGTGTTGACTGGCTTTTGCCAACTGTTCGTTCGCCGATTCTACATTAGAAGATGCAGTCTCAATGTTGGCTTCAATGCTATCTGCAAATTAAGATAACAGAAGATCGTTACAGGGTGGAAACCTAAAACAAAGAGTTGATACCAACAGCAATAGAGCATAAAGAGATGAGCTGGTTCTTGTTTGCAAGCTGTAGTACTACAGGGAAATAGGAATGCCACCCGCTTTGATGAACACCTAATCCATCAGTCAGAGGCTGTATGACTGGTATCTATCCATGTATCCCCAGAAGTTAGCAGCTCATGCCATTCCCACTGAAACCACTGTGAAGACTTATTGAGAATTCAAAGGAAAGTTGCTCAAGACAGGTAAATCTGCTAGATTAGAGTTAAATAAAAGAAGGGACATGGCAAACTGTATCTGAAATTATCTCATTATTAGCACCTCAATCAAGTACATGTGCGTTGCTGACTATCCCCAGGAGCCTGCACTTAAGCAAGTCATCTGAGACACCATCACACTCCGCAAAGGCCAAGTCCATAGTGTGAGATTCATCACACTCTATGTTAGCTGCCTGCTGCTGATCAGATAAGACCAATCACAACCTAAACTCCTGGATTAATTGCCAAGCTGCAAGCGAGGTCTGATCAGATGCTTCACACTAAGAGACATTGCTTGTACCTAATATTAAGGAAGAGGAATCTCAGGCCTCGACTGGCTAGGTCTGATGGTGGGGAAAGCTGAGGAAGAAACCAAAAGGAGACTGGAAAATAAAGATTATCAAGTACACATTGCAGCTGGCAGCTCTTCACTTCCATCAGACAAGTATTAATTCTGGCTCCAGACTTCAATCATTAATCCTGACTTGCTTAGAAAGCAAGACATCTATGGCACAGAACCCGCCAATAAGGGCTTGTGTTCCCAAAAGAAATCTTAGACCACCTTGTCCCCTAAAAGATGCGCAGCCAATAATTTCTTGCCACAATGGAAGAGGATGTGAGCTTGGTCTGCTTCTGTGTGTTGTCAAGCAGATATTGCAACATGAAGCATATGAAAATGCTCAAGAGGAACAAAACCACAGATGGAAAATGGATGAAAAACTAAAGTTTCGGTGCTTTCCCTAATCCTTAATAAAATTAATGGAAATTCTTCAACTGATGGCATTAGGAGTAGGATTAATACACGCCACAAAAGATTTAATTTATTGTTTCATTTTTTGAAGGAAAGAACGTTAATTAGTCTGGCCACTTTTGTAGCAGGCAAAGAAATGAGGATTTACAGATAAACTCTGGAAGAAAGTGGCTGTGGTAATGTTTTGCCATTTTAAAGTGAAACTGCATTGAAAATCCATTAAAATCATCGTGCATTTCTTATAACTCAAAAATATAACAAAAAAGAAAAAAAAACACACAAACCAGAAGAAACACAGAATGAAACCACTTCATCTTCACACTTTGAAACTTGTTAAAAGACTTACATAACTCCTGGGGTAGATGGATTTCCATTCCTTTTATTTTAGATAATGCATGCAGTAGTAGAATCACAGAATGGCTTGGGTTGGAAAGGACCTTAAGATCATCCAGTTCCAATCCCCCTGCCATGAGCAAGGGCACCTCACACTAGGCCATGTCACCCAAGGCTCTGTCCAACCTGGCCTTGAACACCACCAGGGATGGAGCATTCACCACTCCTTTGGGCAACCCATTCCAGTGCCTCACCACCCTCACAGTAAAGAACTTCTTCCTTATATCTAACCTGAACTTCCCCTGTTTCAGTCAGAACTCAACACTTGCACCTCAACACTACAGTCCCTGATGAAGAGTCCCTCCCCAGCAACCTTGCAGCCCCTTTCAAGTATCTCCTGCATGAGAAAGAAAAAACACATGGCCAGCACTTCCATAGTTTGATACAGCATAATTTTCTTTGCTATATCAAATGCTTCTCAAACAATTTTTATTATGCTTTTAACATCATGGACCTTGGTTGGTATCACCTCTCCCCTCATGCTTTCCTTGCATTCAGGACTCAGCAGGAAGAGATCAAAAGGCTTTTAAGGAACTCAGCCTCTACCTATGAAGAAATATCCAATTTCCTTCTGCAGAGCCTTAGAAGATCTACCTGGGGTCTACCTCAAACAGGTATGCCTGAGAAACAAGGTGTTACTTGTGAGTAAAACAAAGTAAACAGATTTCAACCTGTTACTTGATAATAGTGGTGGTCTAGGCGAGTTTACAAGGAAAACCTCATAGCACATCACCACAAGTTCTATCACTTGCAACTGGTATCAACACTTCTGTTTAAAAAGAATCATGGAATGCTTTCGGTTGGAGAAGACCTCAAAGCTCATCCAGTTCCAACGCTTGCCATGGGTAGGGACACCTTCCACTAGAGCAGCTTGCTCCAAGCCGCATCCAACCTGGCCTTGAACACTGCCAGGGATGGGGCAGCCACAGCTTCTCTGGACAACAGAGATCACAACTCCAGGGTAGGCACTCATGTCTTTCCAACCAGACAACTGAGACTGCCACACAAATCAGTAATTGCTCATTCAATGTATTTTATGAGTTAAAGCAGAGGGATGTTTTCTGGTTAGATTTGAGAAAGAGCTGAAAAGTGGCAGATCCGTGGGCTTTATGTGTTCCCATATGCCGTGGTTTAAACCCAGTCAGGTAATTCGTTCGCTCACTTCCCCCCCTTTCTTGCCCTCCCCCTGCTCCTGGAGGGACAGAGAGGAGAATCGAAAAGAATGCAACTCCCAAGGGTTGAGATAAGAACAGTTTAGTAACTAAGGTATAACACAAATCACTGCTGCTACCATCAATAATAACAATGATAAAGGAAATAACAAAGGAAGAGAATACAACACCTCAGCACCAGCTGACCGATAACTCGCCTCCCAAACCCAACCAAGCTCCGACCGATACCTCCTCCAACCCTGCAGTCTCTCAGCCCTTCCGGCTAACTCCCAGTTACATCCTGGGCATGACGTGCTGTGGTATGGAATACCTCTTTGGTCAGTTTGGGTCAGGTGTCCTGTCTCTGCTTCCTCACGGCTTCCCCTCCCACCTGGCGGAGCATGAGGCTCACAAAGTCCTTGGCCAAACCAAAACATCGCTATCAGCTCTGTTCCCAGGCCGAAAGTCAAAACACTGCACTACACCAGCTACCAAGAAGGGGAAAAATGACTGCTACTGCTGAACCCAGGACACCATAGAATCATAGAATAGTTTGGGCTGGAAAGGACCTTAAGAGCATCCAGTTCCAACCCCCCTGCCATGGGCAGGGACACCTCACACTAAACCATCTCACCCAAGGCCTCGTCCAACCTGGCCTTGAACACTGCCAGGGATGAAGCATTCACAACCTCCTTGGGCAACCCATTTCAGTGCCTCAGCACACTAACAGGAAAGAATTTCCTCCTTAAATGCAATCTAAACTTCCCCTGTTTAAGTTTTAACCCGTTACCCCTTGCCCTACGGTGCTGTGTAATGGGTGACTACAAGCACCAGCCCAATTTCCAGCACTATATACAAGCCTCTCTGCATATGGAAACAGGGCACAAGGCAGAGAAATCATGAGTCAGTATGTCATTCACACTGACAGGATGCATCAGTCAGTATAACTTGTCACTCAACCAAGGTGACAAATTCTTACTTGCCTGGTTGTTGGCAAGTATTTACTTCTGTGGTCAAGCATGAGTACATGATGCATAGTTAACCAGATTGGTTTTGCCTGAAATCCAAACTATGCCCTGTGGAAGTCCGTAACATCTAGCCACTGAGACAAGACCTGAAGTTCAGATCCCGATCACTCAGAACTTCAACAAGCCATAACTTTCCTACAGCCAAGTTATGGCACGTGTCAGGCTGGGGAGAAGAGAAGAAACAAGTTAAAAATGGAACTAAAACTAAGAACATATCCTGCTGGGAAACCTGTTATTTTCAGAAACACAAAAGCTGACCATGGGTTTGGGTTAAAAAACAGACGTTTATGTAGAAAAGCACCTCACTTTTAAGTTATTTTGTGATGGGATTTGGAAGGGATGGGGGGATTTGGGAAACTGCCTTATCATAGAATGGTTTGGGCTGGAAGGGACCTTAAAGCTCACCCAGTTCCAGCCCCCTGCCATGGGCAGGGAGACCTTCCACTAGAGCAGGTTGCTCCAAGCCCTATTCAGCCTGACCTAATCAAAGTAATAGAACTTGCTGATGTATCCGATGCTTCCCAGGATCTTTGTGCAGACACCCTTAACTACTCATTGCCTCATAAAGGCTGATGGTCCTCAGAAAATCAATCATTTATGCATAGGAGAGCTACAGAGGAGAGATTTATGCAAGCTATCTTACTAAACCAAGAGTAATCTGTCTGTGCTCCTCTTGGGGCAGGGAGAAATCACAGAAGGAGCTTAATTTAATGTCTTTAAATAGCCCTCCATAGGAACCCAGTGCTTTTCACTGCCTGCAGGGGGGCCTAAGGAGATTTGCCTTCCTTAGATAAAATTAAACGCTGTGAACGCCCCCTTAGCACCGCATGGAATGGGCTAATCACATGTTCTGCAGTGTGTTTTGCAAACATCATCCACCTATTTACCACCACAGGCTTTCACAAGTAGGATGGACGGGTGTGCTACATGCTATATAGGAGTTGATGCGATGGTACAGGAGGAGGCTGGACCCTGGTGGCACTGCTTCTGCTCACTTATTCTCCTAACAGAATACCAGCCTTGGAATAAGCAAAACTCCTATTTAGATGTTCTTTTTGAAGCAACTTGAAATCCTGAGACACGGGGGGGAAACTAGAACAAAATCGCCCGAAAACAATTCTAAACAAAAATGAGACATAAATATGTAACGCAATTTAACCAGATATTCCTGCTGATTAACACAGGAAAGCAAGGGAAGGAAAGAGAATTTGGGTCAAATCACAAGGAAATAAGCTTTAACTCGATGATGCCAAGAAGTCAATGATGAATGTGTCACTCACAGCTATTTCAGTGCATCATTCCTGAATGATAGAAATGGTTTACAGCGTTACCTTGCACACTTTCAGGCTCCTCGCTATGGTACCTTACTTGCCAACGCAG